CATTTCAAATGATGGTCTCATGATGGATTCTAAGAAAGTCCAAACAATCATGGATTGGAAGATTCCAAGGACGGTAAGAGATGTCCAATGTTTTTTCAGATTTGTCAATTACTATCGGATCTTCATCAAAGATTTCTCACGAGTTGCAGCTCCACTTACACACTTGACTAGTAAAGATAAATTTCAATGGAATCAAGAAGCGGAAGCAGCATTTGAAGCCTTGAAGACATCGTTTGTCTCTGCACCAGTCTTATATCGTGTTGACTTTTTCAAGGCATTTTTTATGGAAATAGATGCATCAGATTTTGCCTTGGGTGCAGTTTTATCACAAATGGGATCAGATGACAAACTTCATCCGATAGCTTTTCATTCAAGAAAATTCTCAGCAACCGAGATCAATTATGAGATCCACGATAAAGAACTTCTTGCGATCGCGGATTCCTTTCAAGAATGGCGTCATTATCTAGAAGGCGCTTCTAGTCCAGTCACTGTGTATACAGATCACAAGAACCTCGAGTATTTCATGTCAGCACGCGTGTTGAATCGTCGTCAAGCTCGTTGGAGTATATCTTTGTCAAGATTCGAGTTCATTATCACTTATCGGCCAGGAAAACAACAAGGTTTATCTGATGCCCTATCTAGACGTTCTTATTTTGCACCAAAAGAAGGAGATGCAGCTTTTGAGCAACAAAGAACGGTCCTCTTGAAACCGGAGCAATTTTATCTCCGAGCAATGAAATCAACATTGACTGTTGATTCAACTTTTCTCAAGCAAATCCAGTCCAGTATGTCCTCAGACCCTCTTGTTTATGATATCGAGAATAATTCTTCCAAATCTTATGATCCTTCTAAGTTCGAGTTCAAGAATAATCTATTATATTTTGAAGGACGCCTATATGTTCCAGAAGGAGAAGCACGTTTACGTGTTCTTCAAGCACGTCATGACTTTCCAGCAGCAGGGCACTTTCGATATAATAAGACTTTGGAACTCATATCAAGAGATTTTTGGTGGCCACAAATGTGGAAGTCAGTCAATGACTTTGTACAATCATGTGATATTTGTTCAAGATCAAAAATTCCTCGTCATCGACCTTACGGACTTCTTCAGCCATTACCTATACCAGAACAACCATGGTCTTCTGTTTCTATGGATTTCATCACAGATCTTCCAAGCTCAAGATCTTATGATTCTATATTTGTGATAGTAGATCGTTTCACCAAGATGGCACATTTTGTGCCACGTACAAAATCTATCACATGTGAAGAAACAGCTAAGCTTTTCATTGATAATATCTATCGCTGTCATGGATTACCTAAAGATATCATATCGGATAGGGGAACTCAATTTGTGTCAAGATTTTGGAGGACCCTTTTCAAGATTTTAAAAGTGGACATAAAGCTATCTTCGGCTTTCCATCCTCAAATTGATAGACAAACAGAGCGCGTAAACCAAGTCTTGGAGCAATATTTAAGGTGTACTATCAACTATCAACAAGATGATTGGACAACCCTTCTGCCATTGGCAGAGTTTGCTTATAATAATACGGTACATTCTTCCACGCAACAAACACCTTTCTTTGCCAATTATGGCTATCATCCATGACTTGATACTTTTGATTTTTCAAAAGTTGATAATCTTGCAGCAGAAGATATGGCAAATCGGTTGTCAGAGTTACATGCAATAATGAAGACGCAATTGAAGGAAGCTCAAGAACGACAAAAGATAAACGCAGATCTATATCGTAAGGAGCAACCACAACTCAATGTGGGTGATAAGGTATGGCTACTTCGTCGCAATATCAAGACTACTCGACCTTGTGACAAGTTGGACTATCGTAGGCTTGGCCCCTTTTCTGTTTCTGAACAGATCAACCCAGTTGCATATCGGTTACATCTACCGGAGTCAATGAAGATCCATCCTGTATTCCACGTATCTCTTCTTGAACCATATAAGACAGTGGATATACAAGGAAGAAGACAAATGCCACCGCCTCCTATAGAAGTAGATAATAATGAAGAATTTGAGGTGGAAGAGATATTAGACTCAAGGCGGCGCCGAAATAAGCTGGAATATCTTGTTCATCGACGCGGATATGATATTAGTGAATGCACATGGGAGCCATCCAAGAATCTAGCAAATGCATCAGCTAAAGTCAAAGTTTTTCATCAACAACATCCATCAAAACCAAGATGAAAATCTCTCTTATAAAAGAGACAAGATTGAGGCAAGATAACATTCAATTTCCTATCCTTGTTTGTAACTTCTTTGCATTTGTGACGCTAATTAGATGGAGAGCCAACAACCAGCGGATTCAACTCAAGAACCTTCGTTTGCTGACCTGCTGGATGAGACATTACGATTGTCACAACCTTCAAGACGACGCAATCGAGATGAACATCTTCAAGAACGACATATTCTTCCTCGAATAGATGGTGAGATACAACGCGTTTGGTATCACGATTTGGGAAGGGACTCCCGATGTTTGGTGATTTTGCTAGAGGTAGGAACAACTCCTCATGGTGTTCTAAATATTCTATTTGAAGGAAGTTACGAAGGCCTCAATAATGATCAAATAACTGGGTGGTCTTCCCGCCGTGGTATGGGACACTACCGATGGTTGAGAGGCCCTATCAATCATCTTCGAAGAGAACAGAGATCAGAGTATGTGGCGAATACAATTCGTCACATCATAGATTTCCTCAACATATGATGACCGCTCCTTGTGAAACTCGTCTCTAGAAGGGGGGGTAATGTCACGGCCATAATCATGTAAGCTAATAATTACATATAGAAATAGGTAGAAGTAAGTAAAAGTAGATAAAAGTAAGTTAATTCTATAATATTTAATATAGAAGCTTCCTAGAAACTTTCGGGACGCTGCTTTGACTTCATAGGTGTCTTTAATTGACTTTTTGGATTAGAAACGTGGTCAACAAGTTGGCCATGTGCCACACATGTTGTTAGCTTGAAGATCAAGCTAACTATGTGGCCCACACATAGAAAAACTTGCCTTGTAAGTCAAGGCATGTGTCCTACAAAGTCAACACATATTGGAGGTCCTATAGAACGTCGCCACGTAGCCCCTAGTTAGATAGTATATATAGAGACAAGAGTGAAGGCTTCTTCACTCTTGTCAACTCCTTTCTTGCTTCTAGTCCAGGTTCAAGAGTCTTTAGTTTCTTGTCTTGTGGCAATAGCCATTCCAGTTTCCTTTTAATATACCTACTTGTTTATATTTTGACTTATTATATCGAGATAGCCTTTTTGTATATTTTCCCTCATCGAGTCTTTGTCCTTGACACCTACATGAAAGCAGCAAGGACTATATACATACTTTGAAGCTCAAAATTTAGGTTGTACCATTCCACTTAGGTTATAATAAACATCCCCACTTTCCTTTTCCAAAGTATTTTTCTCACTTCTCTAGCTTCCAACAAATAAAAAATAAATGAAGAACTCTAGCTTCTCCTTATCTACAAAGTGATGCTACTTGAAGCCCATAATTTTGGGCCACATAGATAAGTGCTTGTTCCTCCAATTGTATGAAAAGGAAAAAATTAATAAAATATATATCTAAAACAAAACATTTTTTATGTCTTTTATTATAATTTTCTTCAAAATGACTTCAAGACAATATAGTTTTGCTTTGCATTATAGTTTCAATAAAAAGAAATATTTATTAGCCTCCATTATGGAGGTTAATGAATATTTCTTTCTATTGGAACCTCCATATTATTATTGAAGTTGATCTTTCTAAGTAGCAGATGACAAAATTGCATTTTGAACTATTTGGCTTACATATTAATAATAATAATAATAATAATAATAGAATCCATGAGAATTATTGCACCTTTGTCAAATTAGTAATATCTTATCATATTCTAGAATACATTTCTTATTATCAAGAATGCAAGGATATTCTTGATATTTCAGCATATTCAAGGGATATATATGATATTTTTCCAATTTTCAATTACATTATGTATTGATTCTTCATCTCTACTTCATTTAAACCAATTAAATAATGTACAAGATGTGATTAGAATTAATTTATTCTTAAATGACTATTTCAATTTTGTTTCAATTTTTAGGTTTTTTTTAATCATCTGTTTGCCATATTTGAAGTAATATACTTTGCACCAAGAAAATTTTATTCTAAAACATATCTATATCAAATAAATCCATGATCTTATCTGATTAATTTCTGATATACTTCAGTTTGACTTTAAATCATATTGTTATTCTTGCCATTTCAGTTTTTCATCACATAGACATGTGAAATTCTGGATACTTGCAATATCATGAATGCATCCACAACATGGTTTTATTTTATCATAGTTGAAGTACTTTATTATTCAATTACTTTTTATAAAATCTATATAAGTATAGATTTATTGTATCAACCCTCAAGTAACAAGAGTAATTGACTGTTGTTGTAAAATTTGATCATTTTCTGCCTATGATTTTAATCTGTTATTGAGATCCACAACAAGAGTTTACAACAATGAAATTCGATCTCCATAAGTTTTTTTTTAGAGCATGTTGTTGGTGAGATTCTTTGCAGCTTGGATCATACACAAATCACCTTCACGGTACCTCGATGCATGATGAAACCAAGATGTGAAAGTCTGAATGGTTCGCAAGTCTGAATGCTCTTTCGTCAGATTCTTCCAATGAAAGATCACCAGGACCTCGGTAGAAGGAAGAAATACATGGAACCTGGTAGGATACATCGCAGATAAGACTTTCTTCCTGTGGAAAGAGCACAAGCCTCCTTTATTTCCGAAGATAAAATGACCTGGAGGGTTTGAAGGCAGCACAGAACGCTGAAGTTCCTCTCTGTTCTTCATTTAACAGAAAGTATACACAGAAAATACATGATATACCCAGACATCGTGCCTTCATATCCAGCCTGATGAAACGAAACGAGTTCTCCTCACAAAAGGGGTTCTGATGAAACATGATCCCTTGCCATGCAGTCTTATCTAATCACCTAAAATAAGAAATGAATCTGGTTCCATTTTTCATCACTACGATTCCATAAGATGCAACCGGAATCTCATGTAAATACACGGCTGTAGCTCAGACGTGCTGTGAAAACAGGCATGCTAAAGCAATGAGATGAAAGAACTTTACTACTAAAAACGTTTTTTCTTATTCACAAGAAATTTGTCCCGTTTGTTCCAAGCATACACTAAGAGGACTATAAGAACTATCCCAAAACAGAGAGAAAACCAAGGGAACGGAGGATCCTCGAAGCATTTCAAGGAAGCTTCTAACTCTGACGATCCCTGGAAAGCGAATGCATGAATGGCATAAATATCATGCTCCGATGACTTCAAGAAATACAGGGCAGTGTCAAACTCAAAGTGGGATAGCGCAGTCATGACCTTGTTGAGTTTATACACAAATAAATTCCACCTTTGGGTATACTCCATATGGTGTTTCATTCCCAGGAGCTCCTTCTCTCCACCGTAATTTTTGATAGACTCCAGGGTGTGCAGGACATTTGACATAGTGGCATTGAGCATGGTGAGGATTGTATTCCTGCGAGCTGCATCTCGTTGAGAAAAAGACAGACTAGAACCCTCTGAAAATGGGCCAAAAGGAGTATGACCAATGCCCCATCGGTAGTCCACCAATGTGCTGTTGTGCTGAGAACTCCAAGTGACGTGGGTGGGAGCCACTCCAAAGAGACTTTGGAGAAGAGCACCAGTTATCGGTCTTTCTAGATTACGTGTTGATGTCAGCAGTTGTCGCCCATTACAGCTGTATTCAACCACCGCTTGTGACACTATAGTTCTAACAGCGATTACCATATCGCGGAAAGGCATGACCTGCATACATTCAGAAAACACAAACACGTCACAAAAAGAGTAAATTAAGGCCCCTAGCACCCCACGCGAATCAAAGTGAAATAAACTGCGAAGGTAGTGGTGAAAACAGAGCTTGACCATGAGGTAAGGAGGGGTACACATGACCGAAGTGATTTAGTCAGGAGAGTAAGTAATATAGTCGAGAGGAACTTCTAAAACTCACTGATTTCTGGTCACCCTTATTTCAAATTTTGTTGAATGCAACTATGAAAGCTACCAAACAATTACACAAAACACATTTCAGCGTGATTCTAATGTGCATGAAGTGATCAAATATGCGTACTTGATGAAAGCGGTCCAAGAGCAACTGCCTCTCCGCATCCAAATCCCAAACATACACAGGGATAACTCTGGTCATTCCGTCAGCTGGTCGTTCCAAACCACCCTCCTGCGCCAACTTCTCTCCAAATTCTGATAGAAATTGATGGAGTTCTTTCGAATCAAGATACTCGTCCAGGAAGAGACCATAACTCTCAAGGTGGATACGTGATGTGTAGGTTCGAATTGAGCGAGAGAACGCTGCCGAACACTCAGAACACTCCAAAAGCTTGACTGACGCGTACTTGAACTTTAGCTTCTGTTGAGAGAACAGCAGAGCTCGATCTTCTAAAAAATGAGCTTCAATTTCCTTAAAATTGAGCCCATGCGGATCAGGCTCAACAACACCCCCTTTGATGTGCACAAAATGCACCTGAGCCCACCATCAAGTAGTTGAGTTAGTAATGATGCCACAAGCAATACAGTCGTTGATTCTCATACAGTGTACCCATTGCAGCGCAATAATAAACTACTCGCCGACAACCCTTGTGTAACAATATTTTGCTTTTTACCTCCAAATTCTCTTCAAAAGTCACTGGGATACGCACTGATGGAGCTAACAGCATTTGCGCAGCACTCCACACAAGAGAAGCTAAATCCGCTGCAAACGCATTTTCACGGCCCAACCCATACGAAGAAGCTAATGGAAGCATCTCCCCTTTTACGTAACCTTCTCCAGAAGAGGCGGGACCATATTCGACAGGACCAGCAGCAAGATCCACCCAAATGTAGCGCTTTTTTCCAGTCCATAAAGTCCCCAGACATCTTGTTTGGTGATTTGAATCACTCGCATCGCCGTAAATATAAGCGTATTTTCCTCTTGTTTGAGGCTTTAGGTTCAGAAGAAAAATTGTATAAGATGGGAGTGGATCTTCCAACTGCGCTCGTATAATGTCGTCGACAACTTCGTAACGCACTTCATGATGCTGCCAAGCAGTCCTCAACACCTTACTCTGCACATAGAAGAATCCGAGGTCAAGAATTTATTTAACAACGAAGGCAAAGTCGCAACTAGCTAGAGTGTCCAGGACAGGTTACAGACTAGCAACATTTTCTTGTACATAACGTACTCGATAGAAGTTCCTTTCAACACAATTCTTTCTTGTGAATCTGTGTGAAATATTCAAATAAAAAATGCGACCACCTAGCGTGTCCATCACGTTCAACAGAAATATGTAGCAAGAAATTCGCACTGTCAGGAACTACATTGACTATCAGCTCTTTCAGGCAATAGAGCTGGAGATGCTTCACTCTACAAATTACGAGGAAGAAACCATAAACTTGTGATTTTGTTCGAACCTTGCTTATTTCTTGATGTAGAGCATCATGAATCTTCTCCCCAAGATCACCTTGAATTTTCTCAACTTCCAGAGAAATACGAATCTTAGACATCATACGATGCGGCTCATGACCGATGACGTTGGCATGAACGTCTGGATTCAAAGTATCAATGTATTTCGACAGCTGCGTCTGCAACAGCGAGAGCCTGCGATGGTCCTCGCTAAAACCTACCAGCTTCACTCTCAACAAAGTTGTGGACTCTAAAGCCAAAAGCTCCTCCTTCTTCTTATCGACATCGAAATTCACAGGGTGCGAAAGAAGACGCAAAAGGTAGGGAGTCAAGCTGGTAAATGTGTCATTCTCCGCCAAAGGATCAACACTTGCTTTAGAAATGGCAGCTTCCAGTCCGTACCCGTAATACGCATCCACACCTCCCAAACTCCAAGCTCCAAACGCAATTGCGAAAGCGAAAACAACGAGGCGCGTCATCCTCGTCTCCATGCCGGATCCCTGAAACAGCCACGGGCACACAACCTCACACCTACAAAGTGCTCATCTCGTCACATGATCTCATGTGGCATCCGCATTGCTCGAGCTCAAGGTGCACAGACAGGAGCAACGTGGCCTTTGAGCACAATTCGCACAGCGAGGAGAGGGCAGCTATGCAGAAAACACAAACACAAGGGAGAGTGAGCAGAATTCGAGGGGTGGGCCTGGTGTGGAAACCCTAACCCCATCCTCCATCCTCTATACTCTTCCCTCTTCGCTTCCTTCCTCTAGCTCTGTTCACTCAGTGCTGTCTGGTCTCCCTGCCCACTCAGCTCCATGCCTCAGTATACGTATAACAATGTGTGTATGTGTATATGTATGATCTTATGAATTTTGCATGGGTGTGTATTTCGTAACATACGACGCATACAAAGACGTGAGACAATTTATTACCAAGACTTTGTTTTACCTTTATTATTTTTTGGTTTTTATTTGATATGTTGTTTTATGTCTTACAGTAGTGACTTGTTTGTTGTAGTGGGGTTGTACCTTTTTCCAATTACAACTTCTTCTTTTTTCTTTTTTCTATTTTCAATCTTTGTTATTATATCTATGTATTTGAATTAATATCATTTTTTATTCAAGTATTGAACAATTAAAAATTGATAGATTAAAATAAATATAATAAAAATAATAATTTATAAATTAACTTTTCTTAGAATATGAAGGCTAAAAGGGTATAAACCACTCTAATAAGAAAATTCTATCTCTATGTATAATACAAATTAAAAATAATAATATCATGTCTAAGCCTTGAAGTTATTATATATAGTTTGTTTCTTTATTAATTATTTTTATTGGTACTAAATTCTTTTTATTTTTATTTTAGTATTAGTTTGTAAAAAAATAGTCCATAAAACACGTTTTCAAAAACATAAGCAATAAAAATAAGTATCTTAATCATTTTATTATATATTTGTGCATAAAAAAGAGACTAGTACATTGTTAAAACAAAAAAAATAAAACTTAAAATAAAAATACTGAGTCTATAAAAAGAAATATAATCTATATGGCACTCTTATTTGATACAAAAATTCACAATTTTTTTCTTTAAAATTAACATTTACAAAATGCTCATAAATTTATAAATTTGGATAGATTATAATATGTACATTGTCATGGATAACATTTATATACTTATAAATTATTATAATGTTTTTGCTTACACAAGGATATAATAATCTATTTGTTATTATACATTAGTATAAATAAATAAAATTGCTATTTTTAGTGTGTAGTAATAGGACCAAATAATATTAAAAAACAATAAAGATAGTTTAGGACAATAAATAATAATTCAAATAAATACAATCACGTCATAGGAAAATAAAGTCATATCAAAACATTGAATAAAAGTAGAAACTTGTAACTTATTGGATCAAATTCCGACAAAAACAACAAGAAATGAGAACTATGTGATGTACTGGTTAAAAAACAACAGATTTGTAATTTTATATGAATATATATATATATATATATATATATATATATTTATAAAAGTACAATATAATATTTAATAACTGTGTTAACAAGAATTTTTTACATTTCGATAATGATTTGATTATCTACATAGTATCAATATTAATCTTTTTAAAAAACAGTTTATATATTAAATATATATATATATATATATATTTATATAGAGAGAGAGAGAGAGATCTTATGGCTCATTAAATTTCATAATAATTGCTAGTACTTGTCACACCAAGAAATTATTCATTTCATAGTTATAATATATATATATATATATATATATATATAATATATATATATATATATAATATATATATATATATATACAATATATTATATTATACAATATATTATATTATACAATATATTATATTATACAATATATTATATTATATTATATTATACAATATATATACAATATAATATAATATAATATATATATATATATATATATATATTACTAGTCAATAATTTTATTTATTTTACTAGCTTAATTCTATTTAATATATAGAAATGTATCTAAGAAAAGAATGTATATATATATATATATATATATAGGTTCTTAAATATTTTCATAGCTATTATAGATAAGCTAATTATTTTATTATATTATTGTTTATTTTGGTAAGCATAATGAAAACATTATTCTTTATATTTGCATATCTTTGAAAAATATGATATTTTCTTATCAATAAATATTATATGGAAATCATTAAATTTTGAATAACATGTATGTATTTTTGAAATTTTGTGTTAGAATAGTATTGTCATTTTTTCTAATATCATAATACATGTGCATTTTTGTGTGTTGAGTTTTAGACTTGACAACATTAACTAAATTTACAAAACACGTGAAGGTTGAAAAATTAATAAACACAACACGCTGACAATTTCTGCCAAATAAAATAATAGGCACCTTGTACTACATAAATTTTACAAAACATGTACTTTCATGACATTTAAGGTAGGATCATGCCACTCTTACAACTCCCAAAGGTTAAATCAATTAACACTAACATCACCAAATTGTACATTCACTATTTGTTTTTGGGGTTTCTTTTTTCCTTTTCTTTTCTAATTGAGAACAGTACTTGAAAAATATTAGAAAATTAAACTCAAAATACGCTAGAAAAACAACACATTATGTTCACCAATCTGATGTAAATGAAAACCCAATGCATGTTTTGGTGCCCTATGTTTGAATGGTTCGTGGTCCAGTGTTGTGGAAGTGACCACAGGACGCCGTTCGAGGGGTGGAGAGTGGTCGGGCGCCGATGCTCAATGAGGCGGGCGCTTCATCATTTTCGTCTCCGCTTTCGCTTTCTGGGCGAGTGAGAGACGCAACGAAGAAGAGGATTGCCGCCAAGCTCCACTCGCAGTAGCAGGATCTGTGCAATTGCAGCATCAGAGTTGCAATCTTCGCTTGTTTAGGGTGAGGGAGCGAGAGACACACGCGCACTGACTACAGCTCGGCGAGATGGAGGTCTCTTTGGACCCCTTGCCCCTGAAACGGGTGCTGGCTATGGAGGAGAGTGGCACGGAGCTTCTTCCGCCGTGAGTGCCCTATTTCCCCTTCTTTCTTCTTCTTCTACTACTTCTTCTCTTATTTGAGGATGTTACTTCTTGCAATATAATGGGGTGTAATTGAATCTAGCCACCTGCACGCAAAAATGCTGTGATTGCAAAGTAGTGGGAATTGAGGTCTGGGCCGGGGAGCAATCGTGGGATTGGTGTTCATGTGATTAATGGAGAATAAGGTTCAATGGAGCATTGCCATTGTTCAAATAAAACGGATTTGTTATTATTGCTAATATTACGGGTTTTGCACCTGCAAGGCATCGAAGACTCTTAATTGCAACCCTTTCTAACTAGCGAACAGCTTATTACTGAAGCAATCTAAGTAGGAAGGAACATTGCTCCCATGGTTTCGCTGGAACTGCACAATTTGGAGGTCGAACGACAGGGTTTTACACATATTTTTAGGGTACACTTTGTTCTCTCTTTGTAGCTGTCTCGGGAGTGCAAAGTCGTGAAGTCTGGCTACAGTAACAGTAATTAGGGCTCCCTTCTGCTGCACGTTGATGTTGAGGTTCAAGGTATGGAGCTCGTTGAATATAACAAAAATAACTAGTAAGTGTTTTTCTACGTCAGTTCTAATGTTCTTTAAGAGAACGGTAACATCCATATTGCTAATGCAGGGTAGGTAAAGGAACACTGACCTAGTTTGAGATTGGGAAGTTACTCTTCACACCAAGTGCGACTGGTCTATTCACTGTGTTTGAATCTTCGACTACTTAATTCTATAATCATATTTAGTTGTAGATTTTTGAGTCTCCTGGTTGGATGTCTGATTGCGCAGAGAGCCAAGTCAAGAGGAAAAATCTCTTGCATTGCTAGGTCGACTTGACTTTGGTCAAGAGTTTAAAAAAATAAAGAAAGAGGAAGATGGCAATAAAAAAGAGGAGAAAGAAAAGGAGATAGTTCAAGTGTGGCCTTGGCAAGGACTTGTAGACCATTTGCAGCAGGCGCACCACGAGTTGGCAATCATCCTTGACATGATCAATCATGTTCGTTTTCTCAAGCATGATACAATCGCACTCTTTCATGTGTCATTGATTTCTTACTTGAACTTGAGAGTATAGTATTCTAACGAAAGCTGGATGACTCGACCAGGTGGAAGCAGGCGAAGCAGTGGCTGTTGCAAGGATGGAAAGACCAAAACTACAGCCGCAGGAGATATGCTCTGACGTGGCCTTGCGAGCCTCCTCTAAACTCCATCACTTTCGTGTGAGTTTAATGTCACTGTTCACATCTTTCATAACAATGTAGGGGTCGTACTGCAGCAAATAAAACATGACCTTCTCTCTCTCTCTCTCTCTCTCTCTCTCTCTCTCGCAGTAGCGATGTTATGTAGTTATGTTATAAGACATTGTCCGGAGCATGACAATAGGAAAATGGTCAACGTGGATGAGTACATGATGCGTCCAAGGAAGTTTTTGGCTTTTAGACCATCGTGGCTTCGGTAATGTGTTCAGAATGTGGGAAAATACTTAAAACGTTCGGCACAATCATTGGAGCAACAAGTTGAAAGAGAGGCAGTTTTTTATGGGGCTCTTATGAGGTATGTTCTTTTCGTCGTATGCACTATTATGTATGTCGTGGGTGGCAACTTCGAGAGCACTTCGTTAGGATAATGGCCAGAATCGAAACGTTGAACATTACCTCCGTTCCTGACACCCAATGACTTTGTGTGAACTCCAATAAAAGACTTCAGCGGAACTGGAAAGTCAAGCGGCAACGTGGAGTAGCAGCTGGTCCAGGTGGCAGTGCAGGGTTCTCTATTGATGTAGGAACTTCTGAAAGCGCCCCTTGTCTTATAACACTTGAGCAGAACTCAGTAGGCTTGTTAACAGCTCATCTTCCCGCTGCACTCACTCTATCGTCCCTGCATGTTACTCTTCTCTCAACGCCAGCTCCGTTCAAATTTGGGAAAGATACAGAGCGTTTGTCAGCTACTAGTAAAGAGGGGACGTCTGATGCTACGGTCTTGCCAGAAGCACCTAAGCCGGGGGAGAGGGGCGTTGGACCAGGTGTAGACAGGGGCGCCACAAGAACTCAAGCTATGCTTCGGCAAATTCAGACTGCTAACTTCGATGCTCAGGTGTGTGATACTTGTCTGGCTGGAGGATCACATGTCAGGCTTATATAGGTCTCAGCTCCAATCAGGCTTGTATAGATGTTGAGGTGTTAGTGTACCTGAGATGGCTGTTAAGGACTGTTCAGCTGGAAGTATCATGTCTAACAGAGCTATTTTTGATGAAGTGTCTAAATGTACAATGGTTGGCCTCTGTTCTACATTAGAGTCTTTGTATTATGTGGACCATAGTATTACAAGAGGCCACACCAGTACTTTTTAAAATCAATCACTCAACTTTGTTAAAAACAATTTAAATTTTGTCTCTAGAAGCGGGTCAAGTAGCTGATCAATATGCGTTCTTACCTCCATATTTGGTCTTTGTAGAAACATCACCGCTAATAAAGTACCATATTTTTAAAATCCCTGAAATATGCACTCAAGGTATTGAATTTACACGTGACTTGAATTCGATTAAATTCAACGTGCTGACAAATGTTCATTGGTATTTTTTAAATCCCTGAAATCGTCCGCAGTTTCCTAACATGTCTGTAACCAGCCTATAGTTGGTCTGTATTGATAATGCTAATTTTTGGCCCTCAGGTGTTCGAGTGGGTTGGACGGCAGGCATTGTCATTATCGCCTTACATAAACGTCACTGGCCTTAGCGACACATGTCTGCAGCTGAGTTTGGGCAATGCTGCCTCTCTTAACGTGCACCTCACTCCCATGGCTCCTATAGCTGATGAATCTCAAGGGTCAGATAAGGTTCTTGCTCCTAGAACACCAGATCATCAGAATCCGAGGCTGCTCCCAAATGAAGGAAGTCTGAGTGTCTGCTTGCAGCAGGCTTACCAGCGTCATCTGCATGGGAGGGATGATAATGCACTTTCTAAGGAGACGGGAAAACATAAGGATGGATATGCCGAGTCAGCTGGATTGGTCAAGCATGTCTCAGCTATCATGAAACACCGTGTTGCGAGTGACAAAATTATTTCAGTGCTTGAGAAACAGGTGAGTACATTGGATACTTCTTCGCGAATAACCTCTCCAAGTTTACCTTTTGAGCTTTGATATTGTGGTCATGCTTTTGTTGAGATTGCTTGGTTCTGTTCTCATCTATTCTGGTGGCTTCGATGGGTTTTACTGATGAATTTTCAATGGATGTAGGTTCATGGAGTTCCAGAGCTCCGGTTTATATCACATCCCACATGGCACGCTCAGGTGTCAACCTGGGATCTTTGGTTAGATGTTCCGGATTCAGCGTTGTTGGGCAGATGGCAGGCTAGTGTTGTGTTGAGAGAAGACATGTTGACAATTGCAGGACTGCCATCTGGAAATGGTAACAGACTGACTTCAACAGCATGTACGTTGTCAGAGCTCTCACCCTTCCTCCTCTTTCAGGTAATTCATTACTTCCTGTTCCAACTCTCACACCCATTAGTTGTGTTTGGGTTATACCGTCTAAGTTTTGTGTATTTTTCCCTGCTGTCGGGCTTACAATTACTTGGCCGTTGAGTAGCAGCCTTAATTCAGATTCTAAAGAGCAAGAAATTTGACTGGACTCCGTTTACAACGATTGTATTACACTGCATCATGTTTGTGTAGTTTCTGCAGAGATTGATAGCTGATGTTTGTTGGCAGATGGCAGCCCATTTGGTGACCTGGCTGCATGCTGAAGCATCAGGCATGGGTGTGGAAGCTCGCCTCGATTCTCTGAGTATTACATTTGAACTGGATAACTTTGAGGATGTTTCTCTTGTTGCGTCTCCAGCAGTTAAATCCCACACTATAAATTGGTCATTGAGGCTATCAGGCAGCAGAACAGAAGATTCTGATGCTACATCACGGTTTCTGGGTCCCTTGCCGTTAGAGACACTCAGGGCTATTGTTATTGATCTTATGAATGAGAAGTTGGATGTAAAACCTGCTGGTGATGCTTCTCTACGCGGCGAAGGTTTTTTTGGAGCTTAATAAATTTGATCATCACGCAGGCGCTTGATTGAAGATTCCGTGTAAGTTTTTGATAGCCATATGTCTGATTTTCATGTTCTTGTTTTTCTTTGCATTCCAATATTTATTGGGTTCAGGAGCTATCCTATCCTGATTTGTCTTTTGTGTCTCATCCATGAATCCAATTTAACTTTCGCCATGTGTATCGAACTTCCTGAATGTGATATGGTGCCATAATGTATTAGAGAAGCTTTGGAATCGCTATCTTGGTGGTCCACTAACAATTGACTTTCTCACTTGCAGAAAGAGCTTGTTGTACCAGTGGATGGTTTTCAAGTATACGTACTTTATCATGTCAAATACATGCGAGCGGTTCTTTTCCAATGCAATTCTGAACGTTCAACGTTCCTACATTTGTACATTACCCGGAAACTCATTATACAATGGCAATATAATCAGCTATTGTCAAGTAAATTGTGAGAGTACTCTTCAATGGTGGGGCATTTTTTAATTTAATTTTCTTTTACCCATAATTCACATGCACAGGGTGACTTCGAGAGATAGCTTTAGAGATGCGTCTCTGACAGAGATTGAACTGCCTTTTCATTAAAGATATGTCATTAAAAGGGAACATCTTCATCACCTAGAGTAGACTGACTATACATTGTTGTTAATGGCTGATGTAGTGACAAGAGCCCACTCCTTAAGTTCTCCTTGTTTAGAGATTGTTTTTCTGTAGCAAAATTATGATAACAGAGAATGCAACAAGCTGATTTGAAAGATTTACGAGGTGCTAAATTAAATGCCTTTTGACATGTTTGTTTTGAAATAATTACTTTTGTTAAAAATTTAGACAACAAATTTAAAAATGAACTAAGCACACATGTATATAAGCATGTTTTGAAGCACCTATAGTTCCAAAGAAAATTTTGGTGTAATACATAAGTAATTGAATGAAATATCTAAAATTATATAATTTTAATATTTTTTTATACAAATGTAGAACTTGATATATATGTTTTTCCTCTCTCAACATAGAAGTAGATTTGTTATTATATTTATTTCTTGCATTTTTTTACTGTGCAAAGTTTTCTACTTTTTGAAACTAATCCAACAATATAGAGTGTGAATAAACATTCTATCTTTCATATTGCATGGTTTCTTCTATTGTAGATAAATCCACTCACATCTTATTCCTGATGCAAGATGTACTACAACATTTTATAACAAGTTATAGAATTTCTACATGTGGATGTAAATCCAATGATTTAAGAGAACATTAAGTAGAACCAAAAACCACATATTTTTGAAATATTTTAGTTATAAAACATCCAAGAATTTGAATTTAGCTATTTATATAGAATAATTATATTTTTTAATTAAGAAATCTTGGAATTAGAAATAAATTTGCTTGAATATAATTGTCATAGTTATTTCTACATACAAAAAATGATTAATATATATTATTCAAAGCTCATCTATTATATTTATTTAATATAAAACATAGCTATAAAGAAATTTTTTAATTACGATGATTAGTAATAAAGCCATTCTTGCATAGTTGAACGAGAGTAAAGTAGAAAAGTTTTTGTAGCCAATATGACTTGTTTTGAACAAATCATATATTAATCATTTAGACAAGGTTACAATAAGCATTAATAAAGCTCTACCTTCTCAAACAACACTCTCATTATTGAGTAATTTATATCACATAGATTAGTAATACATTTAATACCTTGTTTCAATAATATTATCAAAATAATGATTGAAGTACTACATTGTATAAAGTTACATAAATGTAGCAACAAATGTAGGAATGGTAACCATTGTATAAAACCATTGCTAAATTAAAAGAAATATGAAGTCAAAAATAAAAAACATGATGACAAATTAAAGGTGTGGAGTTGAATTGAATAGAGATGCAAACTTTGTAAATCTTATTATTAATGCAATTACATATAAGAATGTCAAGAAACCTAAATTGAAAAAAAATACTTACTTATAAACATAACTAATATATTTTCAACTCAATAATGTTACTCCTTAAAACTTCAACAAACTTCAACAAAATTTGTTAAAATATCCAGTTGATTTATTTTATTTTAAAAGAGACAATTTAAAATTATATCATTTTATTGGTAATGGCTAGTAAATATAAAATTTGACAAGCTTAGGATAAAAAATAGAATATTTATTTTAAAATTTTAAAATTTGATATTATTTAGTATCATACATAATTTATACAAGTCAGATGACAATTAATTCATAAACTTACATAACTTACTTCATACCAAAATAGAGTTATTGAACTTGATTTGACTTATCAATATCAAAACACAATAGTTAAGCTCAATTAAACAAACTTGTGGAAAATACAAAAAAAAAAAAAAATACGTACATCAACAACACAAGTGATTAATTTTATATTTTTTAATAGTAACTTAATAATTCGGTAAAAATAGGCATATTAAGTAAAAATAGATTATCTACCATCTTTCATTAATATTTCTTGAAGTTTTTTTTAACCACTTTTTTTCTACTTCAAACACCATCTATTGATAAATTAGATATAGTTAATATATTTTCTAAGTTTTAAATTTTATAATATAATTCTTCTAATAATTATTTAAAGATAAATAATTTAAAATATACATTTTTATATAATTTATTTTTTCTAAATAAATATTTTATAGATTGATACATATTAAAATAATTCTCATCATCTTTATAGCTCTTAAAAAAACACAGTTATTTCTCATAGAAACGCGGAATTAATTTACTTGTTGTACATGCCAAATATTTTAATCATTTTTATTTTTATAATATATTTTTTCTAATTTAATTATAATAAGAATATTAAAATATATAAGATTATAAATTAATTTAATATGATATTAGCTTAGAATTAGGTGATTGTAAACTTATAATATATTCTAATATTTTTTAGAAACAAGAAAAATAGATTCAATACATCTTCATTTTATTTATTTATTTATTTATTTATTTTAAATTACTGAAAATAGAACACAACTTAAAAATATATATGAAAAAATTGTTCTATATAAACAAAGATTGACAAGTCATATGAAGGACAAAATCATGTTGAAACATACAAAATACTATAATGGTTATGTTAAGATACAAGACAGCTTACGAGCTTTGAAATTAACAAGATTCAAGAAAAGCACTCATAAAACTAAATATGAACTTAATCTTGTTAAAAGATGTGTGTATAAACAAGTACTTAAGGCTTTTTAAATATATTTCTAACTTGAATTTAAATAAGGATATATATATATATATATATATGCCTCTATAGTAGCTCAAAAATCTAAATTTCATGTAATTTTGAAATTTGAATTTTATGTAATTTCAAATTCTTTTGTAAAACATTATGTTTTAAAATTAATATAAAAAATATCATTTTTACAAAAGAATAAATTACATGAAATTATATATATATATATATATATATATATATATTGAAATGATCCACCCATGTATCAAATTTATCCATCCTATTGTAGAAAACAAGAAGGAATGAGGGGGAGTTGAGATGAAGAAGGTTGGGAACAAATGGAGAGAGGGTTGGGAACAAGAGGGGTTGGGATGTGAACCATGATTATAATGATGGTTTTTGGAGATGATCCATTTTGCTAATGATGGTTTTTGGAGATGATCCATTTTGCTAATGATGGTTAGAATAGAGTGGGTGGATTTAATAAATGTGTGGGTCATTTTAATATTTTTGTATATATATATATATACATATACATATAATTCATCAATAACTTCTAAATTAGAAAATTCATTAATAGAATAATTATTTTTTATGAAAAAATATATTTTACCTAAAATTTAAATAATTTAATTGGTACAATATGTTTTTAAAAAGTTTTTAATATGTGACTTAAGATTAAGGTTAATTTTTTAAAAAACCATTTCATACAGTTTTTTTTTTTTTTTTTTTTTTTTTTTTAAAGAAAAGGTAGAATCTATGAATTACAAATAAAGCATATATCAAGCTATTATATTTTTTATACATACACATATAATTGTTAGCTAAAAAACATTACAAGTAAAAAATTGCATAATCAACTGAACACAAGAACATTCCAAAAGGTTGATCAATTTTGCAACCCAGTGCATAACCTTTGATTTGGTCAAAATTCTATGAAATTCTTGCTCATATTACTACACCCATCACATTTTGAACAAACCATATTCCACCAAAATGCAGCAAATCAGAGGATCGAATCTCCGCAACGAACAATGTGAGTTCAAAGATGCCCCAATTCGGTGCGAACGAGGGCACTGGTACTGGGAACAAGCCAAGCAGGGCCCCTTCCCCTTGGGGGAACGTCGGAGCCTCTGCCTCAACAAGGCGTCAAGAGTCGTGGGCCATTTTATCCGAATTAGGGTTTCGGGGTTTATTGTTTTCAGTTTGGTTTGGTTTGGTTGTGGTGGAATAGAGATGGCGACATGGATTCGAGCTGTGCAGGTGTTAGGGAGGAGGGTGGGAGTGCGGCCCTTGGTTCTGGAGAGCGAGCGGGTCACGGCGAGGAGGTTGATCTCGAAATCGGCAAGTAAGGATGGGGGATCGGGCGTAGGTGCCGTTGGAGTGATGCATCAGGGTTGGTCTTTCTCCGATCGGAATGCGTACAGTTCCCTGCTAATGTCGCCGCTGCCACAGCGAGGTGCGCAGCGGCGGGGTATGTTTATACAAGTGGAGTCCACGCCAAACCCTCAATCGCTCATGTTTTACCCCGGGAAGCCTGTAATGGAAGTTGGGAGCTCGGACTTTCCCAATTCTCGTGCAGCCATGGCATCCCCGTTGGCGAAATCGATCTTTATCGTCGACGGTGTGGTCAGAGTCTTCTTTGGTGCTGATTTCGTGACTGTGACGAAGTCGGAGGACGTGTCGTGGGATATTTTGAAGCCGGAGATATTTGCCGCCATTATGGATTTCTACGCAACGAAGCAGCCACTTTTTTATGACACACAGTCGCAAGCTTCGGATACTGCCATACACGAGGATGATGACGAGACGGTAGCTATGATTAAGGAGTTGCTTGAGACTCGGATTCGCCCCGCTGTGCAAGATGATGGAGGCGACATTGAGTACCGAGGGTTCGATCCGGAGTCGGGAATAGTGTCGCTGAAGATGCAAGGGGCGTGCAGCGGATGTCCAAGCTCAGCTGTCACTTTGAAATCTGGCATTGAGAACATGTTGATGCATTATGTCTCAGAGGTGAAAGGCGTGCAAGAAGTTCATGACGAGGATTCAGACGAAGAAACAAATGCTGCCGGTTGAGTCGGGTCTCCGATTTCTTCAGTGTTCTTGGAAATGTTTAATGTGAGCAATGCCCAAGCTCCTATCACACCACCAAGTATCGTTCCCGTTTTGAAAGTCTGGTGAAATATCTAACTTGGTAGAAATTAGTCATAGCTATCCATTCATAGCGGCATACTTAAACCTCTCAGTCTGTACAGTTACAATAACTCTAGTACGAGCAATCTGCCGAAGTTTTGGCAGAGTTGATTTGGAATTAGCTGACAGGGTTTTACTTCTCAGTGTAGGATACAGTTTTGTGTGTAGGCCGAAGAGCTTATTTAGAGTGAATCAATATTCTATTGGTTCTACTCTAAAACCGATTTGCCGAAAAAAATCAATGAATCGGATATAGTGTGGTTTGGGATAAGGAAGACCTACAATGGAACGTTGATGATATACTACCTTGTCCACAACATCGGTTCTAATATTTTCTGAGAAAGAAGAGACTGCTGCGGCAGTACACGTGCACCCATTTGCTCTTCAAATGAAGGTGTTCACTATGGGGATTCTGGTATGTACTGTTGCAGTAAGCTGCTTACTCACAAAGAACCTAGGAAGTAACTGTACGACTGCGCTTGGTACTAAGTTTACAGAATAGTCGCCAGTAGGCAATGGGAATATAGAAGCATGCAGCAGAAGCATTCCGACGTCTTTACTCTTCAGAGTTTTCTGGATCTTCGTCATCTTCGAGACTAGCCAGAAACTCGTCACTGAATATTCGCGTCGATAGGTTATCTGAAGCTTTCGGCTTCTTCCCAAGTAGACGGTCTGTAATAGGAATAGCTTTGTAATTATTGTGCCGCATGTAAAATTCAGCTTCCAATATTTTTCTGTGTTGCGGTGGTATGTCTCCATGCGTTCCCTGGAACGAATAACTAGTCATAAGAACATTCTAGCACTTGATTGGATGTGCTTAGCAAATGAAATAAAAACATGAAGTGTCTTGACGAGTTTGAGACTACGAGCAGATATCATTAACTCCCGAGCTATTTGAAACTCTCAAATGAAAAGGAATTCTGCTCTTGCTATCTCAATAACACACATGTATTCGCAACGGAAAAAAATATTCTGTAACAATCATACATGACGTATTGCTCCAGTTTTGTTTTTGATTTTACAAGCACTAGTAGAAGAGTAGGTATCTCATTCACCTTGTGAACAAGTCTTAAAGAAACACCAAACGTCAAACAAAATTGAAGTGATAAGAAAGTTGGCTTACAGAGCGGATAATTCTGTCGTGGGCAGCATGATGCATTATTATTCCGGCAGCAACTGAGACATTGAAAGACTCCACCATGCCCCCCATAGGAATGCAACACCGGATGTCAGATTGTTTGACTGCTTCCTCGCTTGCACCCCTGCATGAAGAAACGATTTCTATGATCTCATAATAAGCATTAGGGGCCATCGGTTAACCCTCGATGACTTAATGACCAACAAGAATATACACGAATAGGGAGTTATTGGAATGCTTCATCGTTTCAAATCTTAGAGCCTAAATGTGGGTAAGAAGACGAGATATTTCTGGGACTTATAGTCCAGAAATTCTCTGAACTCACTTATACTCATTACCGAAGATAACAGCCGTTGGTATGGTCCAGTCCATGTCTTGAATAGATACCTGTTAGTCACCAGCCACAACTTGAACAGCAGCCTGAAGCAGAAATTGTGCAATCTTCTAAAAATGAAAAAATAAGAAAATAAGCATGTTGCAGGTACAGCGGATATAGTTCATGAAAGCTCACCGTATTAGGGGCGATATGTGTGACGGCAATACGATAACCCCGTTTCCGTAAAGTGGCAATGCAATCACTTGAGTTCTCCCACATCTCTGCATCCAACCACGTCTCTGAGCCCCTACTCACTTTCCGGTTCTTCTTGTATCTGCCAAATATCCCAGTAGAAGTGATACTAAGAGCAGCACATACAATCGTACAAGTTGATGACCTTTCCGAGCTACTCCACAAATCTACGAGTGATACTCAACCATGAAAATGAAAGAAGTCGCTATTGAAAACCGATATTAGACGGTGTTGTGCCTACAATTTTCTTTCGTACGAGACCAAGTATACCATGAAAACTAGCATAAAAGTGGATAACAAGGGTCTACAACAAATATTCGAAGATGCTAGAACATTTTCAGAGATACCACTCGTCTGGTGGCAGTTGTCACCTGAGCCACTCCATTTTATCACATGCACACATAAACTCTACAATATGTAAACGAGCGCAGATTATGAAGCTTACCGCTTCTTGGTCTCGGTGCTTATAACGTGAACAGATTGAAATCCCAGAGCGTCAGCTGAGCGGAAGACAGCGGAGATGTTGCCAAGCTCCAAAAGCCCCTCAACCGCAATGCATACAGAATATGTGCGGTTTGCAACAACTCGCTCAATTCTTTGCTTGCGTTCATCTGATATAAAAGGAGACAGCATTGAGATCAATTCAGAACTTGTCACAGTCTTCTCGTCGTCAAGCTTGAAACAATCGCCATATGGGAACCACCGCTCCTCGCTCCTAGTTGTGCTTAAAGTGTTCTCCATCGTGCTCGTTTCTTGAGAGTTCATTGAACTACCTGCCACCTCGTCATACTGTTCCTGTCTAGTTTTTTTGCTCGCGCCAACATCTGAAATTAACGACAAATAACAGCAAACTCATATATACACATACGGACAAGACAATACGTTTTGATGCACACAAACGTAACAGACCTGATTTTGTGGATTCCTTCGTAACGTTGTTATCTCTAATGTTTTGATCCAGACCTGGCATTCCTAAGATACTTAGTTGTGTTAGTGCCTAAAAAGATGCTCCTTTCACCATCGCTTTCTCTCCTTCTCTTCCTTTCTTTTGTGCTAGATGAACTTCTTACACCGCATACACTCATGCCATATCCACCCACCTTATTGGAATACTGAAGCTTCAGCCACTGCAGTACTTCCGAAAAATCTGTATGGGCGGGAGCCTTCGTGTAATGGACAAAATCTTGGACAGCTCTATTGCCGTGACTAGAGCTAATGAAATTTGATGCGGGGCTTGGGCAAAAAACCTGAAACCTCCTCAAGACGCAATATCGCAAGATGAGGAAATCAGGTGTGTGAAGCATATCCATTATGTGACTTCCATATCAAGGAACTTGTTCAATATGAGCGAAGCTACCAACAGAAAAAAAAGTTCCGAACCACACTCAGCAGCGTTTAAAAACAGAGAAGAAGAATCATCCCCAGCGACAAGCGGCCATCGGAACTATGACGACATCGATTGGGACTTTAATGTGTGACCATGAACACAGGCGGCACCAGCCACCACTATGTATTGTAATTGTTTCTCGTGATGGAGCAGCACTCAGAATTCATACAATATGTAATGATGCCGAATGCAATGGTGTGATGGTAGTGATGATGCCAAAGTAGATCAGCACTAGGAAAAACATCTGAAGAACAGTACCCATGGATGTATTTCGATCACAACGAATATGTTCGCACATTATACATGATGTCACATCAAATGTGAAGCCAACGTTCAGTTCTCACCAAACACTAGTTCTAGTCCTCAAATAGACGCGGTATAAATCAACAGCTGCATCCAAAAGCACTCACTACTAGAAAGACTAATAGATTCGAAAGTACAAAAACACTTGGCCAAACTACTCCCCTCACCAAACCACAAAAGTCACTCTCAAAAACGGAAATCCAGATGGAATACAAACAAATTCAAGCTCCCGCCTCAAAATGCAAAAACAGAGGCAATTCCACGAAGGCATCTTGCTTTTAAGATTATACCTCATCTCCAGGATTAAAGCCGAAACAAGCACCACCAGCATAAAACACGTAGGATTCACAAAACAGGATGCAAACGTACGCAAAGCTAATCGATGAGCAACACCGTCTTCACTTAAATTCTGTGGAAAACATTCAACCCTGTTGTCAAAGAAGAAGCACTTACCAGTTCTAGCTTCTTCCACAAGGATTCAACCGCAACCTCCTTGGCGACGAAGCATCAGTAGGTAAACAAGCACGAGACTCTCCCACCGCTAAACAATCTTCCCCTAACGACACGGACTAGACAAAAGTAGCTAATGCCAGGATTCCGACCGCACTTTCAACCAGCAATTCTGTGTTTGATTCGATGCGATTGCGGCCGAACAACGCTCATTCCCTCGCTTTGTTCGTATTTCGTACGAAGAAGGGTCAATAGGGCAACGAACGGGACCGAGTCGGTGGGGGCGGTTGGACGAACTAGACCCCCGACGAGCGAGATTTTTGGACGATTGTAGTGGTTTCGTTGGACGCGTCGTTGTTTCATAGCTGATCTGCGTTCGTTGGACTTCCTGTATGGAGCCTCTGGTGAAGATGAACATCCTCATTTTCATGTGGGAAGGTCAATAATACAACGATACTATTTAGATTTTTCACATATTATAATTAAATAAATAAATAAGCATCAAATAGTCATTATCTCAAGGCTAGCATCAAGGCTACCATACATGAGGCAAAATTAAGGATTTCACAATTAAAATTTGAACCATCAATCTTTTGGTACCAACTTGTTATCCTTTAGTCTAAAATCATTGTAATTTATATATATATATATATATATATATATATATATATGAATCTCTAGTAACTTGTAAGTATTTTTTTAATTTTTAGTAAATTTAAAACTTTCTTGTTGAAATTGTCATCATTGTTGTAAAATTATTCTAACTACCAAAAGTCAAATTTTGATATATTATTAATATACTTATTATAACTTGAAACTTTTTTTTTTCTTTTATTTTAGTATACAAGAAATATTATGAATTTTATTTATTTAATGTTTTATCACAGCAAGCAGAAAAATATCAAGCATTTTATTGCTAAGATTATTTACCAAAAGACACACACTTCAACCCAAAGGAAGCATGTTTAATTTAAAAAGGAAGAGATACCTAAAAAAACAACCAAAGTTGAATGAGTGAAAGAAACACCTCAAGTAGTATAGGATTATCTTTTAATTCCAACAATTCTTTGATCTTATTGTTTTTTTTAGAATATGTCATTATTTCTTTAGTAGAACAAAATTCAAAGCACTTCAAAATTTTATGTAAGTACTTGCATAAAAATAAAACGTGGCAATATATTAAACCTTCTTACATTTCACAAGGAGCCAAAAAAATATTATTCCAAATATTATAGAAATACATGCAAAACAAATACTACAAGAAACATTAGAAACTCAATCTTATTATAGAGACCTTAGTCACTATTTATTTCTTTATTTAATTTTTAATTAGTTAACATCAATTAGATGTGAGCACAATCCTTTCTTTTTCCAACAATATTTTTTTCTTGGGTATAAAAGTTCTTGTAATTCAATCCTAACTAAAAATGTGAAAATTACCACTTCTAATCTCCTCTAAACACATAGTTAGACATGATGTTTTAGCAAATTTCACTTTATTTCTATATTTAAAACATACTCCTTAGAAGATAAATATTGACAACTTTCATGTCCCTATCCATACCTAGATTTCTTTGTGTACGACATAAAGTAAAACCCAAAGATTCAATATCATAGCTTAATTGTACCTGGACTAATATAGTAACATTGGGAGAAGAATTTGACCGAGCCTTGACTCTAAGACGTTTACATATATTTGACCGAAGCATTAAAGATTACTACAATTGATTTCATAAACATAAAATTCATGGAAGACCCAATACCTCCACCTGTTCATCTCTTGAACTGATTTCAGACCCCTAAGCTCTAACAATCAAGATGTACTGCACGACGTAGAGTATCCTGCATGTATGGGTAGGCCTTTCGGTGAATTTAATCTCAGGCTCTAGCCTTTCCAATTTCAACTTAACAAATCTTTGGAATTTGAACTGGACTTCGATAATGTAGTTCACAACTTAATAAATGCGACAAGTTGCACCGGTGGTGTGACGCAATAGTCTTCGAAAGCCTGCTTTGGTACATTGGTTCGCATTTCAAGGGCCTTGGATAATCTCTGCGTATTACAAGTCCATCGTCAAGACTTTGAGGTACAGAATTAGATAGAAAAAACTATGAGAAAACTATTTTATTCAATCTAGCCGGGCTATTCTCCATTACGCACCAAAATTGAATATCCTGATGAATTGTTACGACGATACTGTAGCTATGCCCATGTCTAAATGAAGATTCCAATATAAATTTTACAGGCTTGCAGCCTCCAGACTTAAATCAGAGAGTCTCTATTACTGGGAACTATCCTGAATGGGTTTAAGCCAAGCCTATGCCGATCTATCACGGGTCCTCAGACTGCCTCAACATGTACTTGCGCCAGTTCGTCGTAACAGAACAGGCCAATAACAATATTACCAATAGTACATTATATAAATAGGGAATCACGTATGAGAGTATGCGATTACCAATCCTCACGGGAATGTTAAAAAAATGAGTCCATCACAATACCATAGAAGCCAAACCGCGTCAACAGAAAACAAAAACATGAATCAAACGTAGTTTATCCGAAGGTCCTATTGTACACAGACAAAATGAAACACCAAACATGCACATGAGAGCGCAGTGAGTACAAAGAGAAGATCCTGAAGAGCAATTCAAGGCCCCAGCCACACATGGTATTAATCTTTCCATCGGAACCAGAGAGGTACACAACAGAATTGCGTGAAGTCATAAACCCACTAGGAATATAACCTTGACAGGTGTATACATGAGCAAGCCCTAACATCTACTTGATCTTCTTCTTTGGGCGGAGCTGGTTGCTGTGTCCACACTTCTTCTTGCGGCAGTTCACAGCGCGAGGGTGGAGGCGAGCATAGCACCTTCACAATATCAGTGAAGAGTGTGTTAAAAATAATGATATGATAAGGTAACCTATTGGAAGAAAAATCACATAGACATTAATCACGCTCCCCAAGACTTTCCCCTCAACACATGGTATAGAAGAAATCTTCACGCGAACTATCAAGATGAACTCACCAAATTATCCACTTAGTAAACAGATTTTCTCCCGAACTCGGAGCATATGCCAACACTAAACTAATATAGAAACAGATCCGCCAACGAACGCTCATGATAAACACTTTTCACTAAAACTCAGGTTGCGCTTCTGACTCAACAATAATAACCTGATATTCAACCACCGAAACCCCCGAAAAAAAAAAAAAAATGACCACGAACCCTCAAAAAATGAGAAAACCGAACTTACTTCCTGCAAATCATCTTTTCTTGGTTGTACTTCCTGGCCAAGGCCATGAGCGAGGGCTCAATAATGCCACCTCGAAGGCGCAGCACCAAATGCAAGGTAGACTCTTTCTGGATGTTGTAGTCAGCCAGAGTGCGGCCATCCTCGAGCTGCTTGCCGGCGAAGATGAGACGCTGCTGGTCCGGAGGAATTCCCTCCTTGTCTTGAATTTTGGTTTTCACATTATCGATAGTGTCAGAACTCTCGACCTCGAGCGTGATGGTCTTGCCCGTCAGGGTCTTCACGAAGATCTGCATGGTTCCAAGCACACTGCGATTTCGCACCCGACAGACAAGGGAATCAAGCAAAAGGCGATGTTTAGGCTTCGCATCAAATTTCTATCCCACACGTTTTAGGGTTAGGGCTTTACATGGTGAACATGCGTTCACACTAGGGAACGTAGGGAACTTCGTCGTCGTGAACCTTCGGGGGCATCAAGCCTTCGACGACTAAACCCGTCGTCTCTTGTTCCGAACGGCTCCTCGCTCTTGTCAGCGTCGAGATTGGCAAGTGCATTCCAGCCGAGGCCTGATCATTATGCTGCGTCTTTATTTCCTTCGTCTCGGACTGGACTTCACCTTCCATTTGAGACTTGATCAGCAGTTTTTAGTGCAGTATTGAGATTAAAGTTCAATATCTATTCGAGGATAGCTTCGCTGTCATCCGAATTTATTGTCAGTTTCCTTTGGCGTGTACGATGGAATTGACAAGTTCGTTTATGTGCATCACCATTGTTTGATGTTGAGAGAGGTCAGCATGAGTGTGATTTCCATTGGCTTCTCGATTTAACCGAGTTCGGTGTAGTTGATAACCAATTAACAGGCCTTTTATCAATAAAGAGATGTTGAGATAAGATGGTATGAACTTTGGATAAGTCGCCGGGACTCACACTGAGTGGAATTGAAACACTTCAAACACGCCTGAAAAGGATTTACGCTGAGCATAAGAAAGTCTCAAATTTACTACGAAATTGTCTAGTGAAAGATATCAGGTGTGTGAATCTTGCAGAAATTTTGTCAGTGTATTTCAGTATGAATGTAGTATACATTCAGAACTGCAGAGAAAACGAAGCATTGAGAATGCGCCCGTGCCCTGAGGAGAACAATCATGGCGTTGTGGCCATTGGCCTTCAAACTCAACATAGTGTCCTACTTCAAATTCAAGTGTTGTGCATTGACGCTATCCGCACTTATCCGCTGCTCAGGTAGCCTTGCACACCAAGCACGGGCTAATAACAGTCCTGTCAACACTAGGGATCTGATCGAGAACTATGATTACAGCATCACCACTCCTGAGTGCTGCAACATGATCATAAATTCCGGAATCAATCTAAAAGACAGCTTCATTGCGCAAGCCTCGAGAAATTCTCATCCTCCGCATCACTGGATTGCTAGTAACTATTGCACTGGCTGGCTGCTCGAAGATTTTGGCACATGCATCAGTTCACTACATCATAGCTCGAGAACCTGCGAGAAGCCATCTATGGTTAACTCAAATGGCGTTAACTCGAATTCAAGAAAGCGAATTGGCGGAGTCTTCTCTAACAGGTAAGGTGAAAAATAAAATAAAATAAAAAATAACATTGGACATGAATGGTATGGTGTATGGAAAAGAGTGGATTCAACTGTACACAAACCTGTAGAGAATCGTCAAATTGCGTAGGTTCCTTACACCCAGGAACTTTAGTTGTAAAAACGCTTACGCAGCGCTGGGACTAATATGTCTTCAATAAACGTTGTAATTTCTCCCAGTCCATGAATTGAGTAGCTCAAGCACCATCGAGTAACTTGGATGATCGTCTCAACAGATCTGACATGAGATACAACGTCACAAATTCAACAAATCTGATGGTGAACGAAGGCAATTGTGATGCTGGGTCGTGATGGTATGTATACATAGCACTTACGTAATGTTCAATCACTCTGTTCTTTCATAAAGACAGACTTCCATAACGCTATAAGAAAATTTCCTCGGAGCTTTTCATTGTTTTGGTATTAGAGGAAAGCTAATTTCGAGGGACTTTTCAGAAAGACTATGAAACGAGTGACAAGACATAAGTATCACTCGACATTAACACCTCAAACAAAAAAAGAGTTTGTTCCGGACAGCAACTATATTGATTAAAGATTCGAGAATTTACCATTTAAGTGTATGAGTGGGCAGCAAAGAAACTCCAGCGTAGCGGGGTAGAAGCGGGCGCCGAGCAACCATACTCACAGTGCCTGTATGAACAGAGTGACTAAACTACTGCCATTGTACAACTTATGAATTTACTGATTCAAATGCGCTTGCTAATTCTAAGGTTGATGTAATCAAGGATTAACCAGCTGTATCAAACTCCGTGATCTATACCTTCCATTTCAGATTTAACTTTGACCTGCGCATGACAGAAAAACAAAAGGTCGCGTTGGATCATGGATACGCAGGAAGATCAATCAACTGGATGGTACAGATTCATGAATTACATAGATGCCACGAATCACGAGGCGCCCGAAAGGAGACCCCCAAGGCTGTAACAAAAGGTTGATTACGGAAGGAAACACACCTCATTGGAAGATTCATCGAGGCTGAACTTATTCGGTTGAGATGGAGCGACAAGGCTCGTATTCTCAGAAAGAGATCCCAACCTAGCAGTGAAGCTGTTTACTGGTTGCATTCTCCGATTGGATGTGCCTGCAGATTGCTTGATCCTGGGCACATTCTTGGTCGATCTTTGCAGAAAAGGCTGTCACATACAGATACCAATACACACATGATTCTCGCCCGGTTAGGGATCTTTGATTTCAACTCAACGCTACAGTCTCACTGACTAAACTCAGGGAAGTTAGAATCACCAACATTCACTAAACCAACAATGAGGATTTAGCAGATATGTCCAGAACGTACCAGACAAGGTGTCAAGATGGTACGTCTCAATGACTTCTCAGACTTGAATACCTTCAGCTTCACGTCAGGAGTACGAGGATGATGCGCTTTGTCTAATTTCTGTTCTCGCTGCAAGTCGACACTAAACCTTCCAGACTTGCCCATTTCCAAGAGGCACCCACTTAGGGTACCCGCAGACAGCCCACTCATTACTCTGCTGGACAAGCCGATGCCATCAGCCACATCTATTGCATACTCAAAGCTTCGACTATAATTCCATTGCGGTGTCTGATCGTGCAGCACAACCCGTGCTCTGCCGTCTGCTGAGAAGGTGTGCGAGTCCTCACTGTCAAAACTTGAGACATACTCGGGGTCATTATAGTTGCCACTAAGTTCGAGGTCAGCGGATTTAATTACAGACACAAAAGTGTTGTGCAGGATGGGCCTGTCAAATGATTCTCGTGCATCAGATGAACTCTGACCCTCGCCGGCTTCTTGAAAGACAAATGAACTGGTTGTAGGATTGTCGAAAGGGAAGTCTAGCTCACCGACTTCCTCCCGAGCATCCTTCACAATTGTGTAAAGATTATCACTGTCAGGGTTCAAAACCTCGCTGAAGATCGAAAATCAGACTAGACGTGCATAAAGTCTTGTTCTTAAGTTAACTTACCAGAAAGCCAGTGAAAAAACAGAAAAATACCTGATCCTGTCTATGCGGCATATTGTTCGTGAGCTCCATATCTGGCTCGTGCAAGTCCGGCTCTGCCGCAATATCCATTTGTAGAGGTCCCGACGAAGGTACCCAGATAGACTTTCTCCCGGATCCGAGCTCCGGCCACCAGCTTCGCCCCGAATTCAGCTCCGACTGCGGCCCTCTCGTCACTGCTCTTGAGTGAATGGAACCTCCATCAAAGCTAGTTGTCAACGAGATGGGCATAACTGCACGTTTTCCTCGGCGAAATACCTTCTTGGCAGAAGAGCCCGGGACAGTAGCATTTATATGATGCCTCCTATTAACCATCGTTGATACGGTCCTGAGAGGTTTTGGTACCAGGGAAAGACTCCAAGAGCTGCTGCTTGACGACCAGCGCTCATGCGTGGGCTTATTCTTCCTCCGACTCGATGTGTATCCTTCCACCACTGGAAGATCAGTGAGGTATGAATTGTCTTCGGGTTCCATCCAAGCGGCCTCGCTGGGACCATCGAAGTCGTCGTCATCACTAGCGTCCCCGTTCAAAGCAGAATTAATGGACATCAAATACTGAGGCAACTGGCTTTTGGGTCGGGAAGTCGTAGGGTCAGCGGGGCCGGCTTGCGAAGCGACAATCGCATTGGCATCGTCACTTCGACCCCGCAGAGACTTCCGGTTCGATTTGGAACGAAACGAGCGCTCCGAAAAGGTAGGCGATTGAGGACAGTCAAGTGTGCTCACAGGGGAGTTCCCTGGTTCATTCTCGGGGGTATTGCAACGATCACTGCGAGTGGTCAAGTTATCACTCAGGTTTCCAACACCCGAGTTGCATTGACGCAACCTTGACCGCCTCACTAATTTCTGAAACACCCTTTCTGAGAAATCGTTGCCCTCATGGGTACCTCCTACATCTGAGGCAAACAAGTTACTGTCCATCGTGAAATGAACAGCATTCAGCTGGCAGCTATTAGGTCTGCTCCCTGGATTTGGACACGGGTACAGAACTCCACTGGGGACCCTTGAACCTCCGGCGTTAGTGCGAAACATTGTTTCATTCGATTGTGAATACCTACTAAAATCCAAAGGTGGGGTCATTCTAACCCCGCTGTGACCTCTACTACCTGAAGGAGGTATTGAAACTGGCGATGATGGAATATCAATCTTAGCCTTTGGAGGATCGATCCCTTTTCCAAGTACTGAATTCCACTTTAAAGGGGTTGGAGACTCACTTGGGCGATACCTCTCCGAAATCATTGAAGACATGGAAGATTGTCTGCTGAAAAACTGCTCTTCATTGTCGTCCATCACGCGAACTCCCATTAGGCACGATTTCAGATTCAACTGAACAACTTCGGGCTCATGAACTGGCTCGCTCTCATCCCCGGAATTATCAAGCCGTTGTGGCAAGGTTGTTCGTTTCCCCGACCGAAATCTCTGTCTATTTGGAGCTGCACATGTGGATGCCACAATACAAGAGGGATCTCCCTTTCTCAGAACTGTTTGTCCCCCCTCTCCATACTGCATCATAGGCATCGACTGATCCATGGTACCAGAGTCCTAATCGAGACAGCGACTAACAAGTACACTACCAATACCGTCCCTATCAACGATCGATCAATCTACAAGGGTCGACCACCTGGCTTCGCACGCAACATCAGCTACTGCATACGGATCAAGATTTGCTAGAATATTTATAAAATCTATACAATCATAATGTGTGGCTCGGGTTGACAACTTCAACCTTCAGAGAGCACGTGCCGGGTTCAAGAAGGCGAAATGTGTTAAACTTCAACCCTGATCTTCCTGACCTGCTCGCTAGTATGTACAAGCAAAAACACTGTTCCTCAGGTATTGGACTTCTAGTGCCCTTTGAAGATCTACAACATCCACCCGCATGGTGATGCGCGTCGCGCTAGGGCATTTGATACGTTCCTGCTTTGTTCTTCGCCTATCGCACCCACGCTGAGTGCTCGAACCTCAACCAAAAAAGAAATCAGATCAGCAAGACTTTAAACTGTACATTCGAGTTGCCTGAGACGATCCCATCTCTCATTCAGATCACTTGGAAAGGTCAAAATTGGATGAGTTATGTATTCGGTAGGATCCTGGTCATGATGGATCATTGAGGAAAAACAAGCCCATAGGTGACTACGGCGTCTTTGGTTCGCCGTTGTCTACAGCCACGGTAAACGTATGAACGCTGTCATGCAAATCCGCATCAATAACTTCTTATTCACAGCCGTCGTTTCCAAATAACAACGCAAGCTGCACAAAAATGGTTCCCTTGGAAAAGGTACTACGGTATCATTGCACTAAAGGTACTAAAATAACAAATGCTACGCTCCCGCAACCCTCGTGCAGTTCTCACACCAACGAGCTTCGACAACGATGAGCTTATCACAATCACGCCATCCTCAACTCCTGAAGCCCAGTTCTACGCACATTGCGATTCAAGCTCCCGAATGACGATGCCATTACACACAGCGCCTGCGATCTAAACCCTGGGGACGAGAAGGCGAGCAGCATAAGATGTCTGGGAAGATTCGATCGTTGCCAGCAAACTCGAGGCATCCCGAGACAGCGGCGCAGACAAGGGAAGCCCACGTTCGTGTGCACGATCGTTAACATGAACAATGAATGTCAAGCAAACCCGGATCTACCGAAGATATCAGAATCCCTGCAACGGGTTTTTTCTGGAAGAGACGCGAAAAACGTCTTTAGATCCCAACCATGAGCTTTTGGGCAGCCTTTGCGTTCACCTGGTGCAGCAAAAGCCTAAAATGCCAAAAGCAGCAACGCCTATTCCCAATGGCTATAGCAGAGGCTATTGCTACTCCCTCGGAACTGACATCCTTAAATTAACCGAGATGAGGGATCCTTCATGTTTTTTAGGGTCTGCAACACACAGAGCTGTATTCACGTGGGGGCACTTTTATCACCAGTTCCAGTGATGAATCTGGCAAGTGAACAGCCGCTACTGGATGCAGCGCATCGACGGTGACAACACCATTTACATCACCCACAGACGGATTGAGCTGGAACGAACAAATCCGAGAAAAGAAGTTCTATCAGGTGTGTGGCCATTGCCCTCATTTGAAAATATTGAATCTCAAAATCGCGGGTATTAAAAGCTAGTTTTCAGGAACGAGCCCTAGCCTAGCAATTGGCGATGTTGCGATTGCCAGCTCCAGATTGCGAACAACGGACTGAAGAGCAGCAGAAACAGGAATCAATCAGTTGAGCCATACGAGGTCGCGGTTTGTGGTGGGAGGGGAGATGCCCTGTATGGATTTGATGAGTTGTTGTGGAGTTTGAGGTTGTGATTGAAGTGTGCAGATGGGATCTCATGCACTTGGCGGTGGTGGTCACGAGGGGTGGCTCATTTCCTTTAGAAATCTGGGAGCTGCACCACCAAGTTTTGCTCTGTGTGTTTTTTCTTTCTTTCTTTCTGAGCAGGTGATATCCCTTCATGGCTGGATGGGGCTGCTCAACCATTCTTCTGCTCTTTTTCTCCCTACTTCCAAGTCGCCGATCTCCCATTCACAGCTCCCTCGTGTTATTTAATTTTTCTTTTTGGTTTTTTCCCTTTTTTTGATTTTTCTGTTCTTGGTTTGTCTGTGGGAAGGTACGAGGTCAGCCCCCTTCAATATAATTAATCTAAATTTCTATTATCCTCTGTAGAGCACCTGATTTGTGTTCAATTTTTGGATTCAATTGTGCTTTTGGCCTTTTGAGTCTTGGTCGATGTTCACAAACTGGTTTTACATTTATTTGAGTATGTTCGATCTCACTTTGGTATCAACTAAAGTGAGTAATCTTTGTGTATGAATCATGAATATACTTCTTCTTTTTTGTACACTTACTATTCCAAAGTTGAGTCATGCAATGTAATTACATAAATAACTTAACAATACAGCTACTATTATTGCCAAATATATCCTTTCAAACTCTATAAACAAATGAAAATATGTGGTCTACAATAAAGTTAACGAATCGTACTTATTCATGTTAGTTTGATGTTTACTTGGGTTATATTTACAAACCATAAACTTTATTTAAGATTATAATTTTTGATTTTAAAAAAATTGCCACTTGCTCACAAGTTGTTGGATGAGGAAGCATAGTTTTAAACATTAGGTTTTTTGAGTTTGAATACTGCAATCTCCTACTTGGGAAGAAGCAAGAGACAACCTTGATGTTCGCCACTATGAAATAATGTCTCTATTTTTTGAAAGAGTGTTTTTATCAAATCAACAAGCCTGCTATCAGAAAACCTTTTCGTTTTCCAAAACAAACATACATAAATTTCCAACTAGTCTTGTCGCAAGATTTTCGTCCTTTGTCCAATAAAGCACTTTGAATTTTAAGGAGCAATTTCACAATGCACCCATTCGTATTTTCAAACCTTCATTGGAAGCAACAGCCGCACACATCGCACCTGGATAAACACCAACAGAGCTTCAACAGAAAACAAACAAACAGGTATTAAAAACCAGAATGTACATGAACACATTTGCGTAGGGAGCCGCACCATTTGAAAAGTCTTGGCAAACTAGGAATTCGAAATCCCGATGAACATTAACAACAACAACAACGGCTTCTGAGTTTGGCCGATGTGCAACTTGGAGACCAGAGCGACAGCGCAGCTTTCCTCTCCTTTCCTCTGCTCTGGATTCCTGCCCCATTCCCATTCCCGTTGCAAGACCCTCCCTCTCTTTCCTCCCTTTCTCACTGCATCTCTCCCCCCCTCACCCAATAATAAACACAATAGTATTAATAGTACAGTAAAGAATAGGCGTCCTTTAATCTCTTCGCCCTGGAGCTTCATCTGCTTCTTCTTTCTTCTTTCTTCTCGTGCTAATCAATCCCTGCTCCTCCTGATCCGCGGTACTGCTGGGCACATCAGAGCCTAATTATCCCCCCCTCCCCCCGCCACTCTGACCGCGTTGCCCTTTTTCCACTCCGTAAAACGGATTTTGGTATTTCTAATTTTGAAACTCGATACGTTTTTTTATTTTCGATTCTGTTGTTAGATATTCCCCAAATTATATTAACGATTATCAAATAGTAACTAGTACGTGTTCGGGATTCAACGTCAAGTTACTGAGACGTTTAACAATGGTTTGGAAGTTTATGCTCTCGCTATCTTTTTATTTTGTTAGTTTTTTTTACTTATTTTAGTATTATCATACACGATTCAACATGACTGTGGTAGATTTATTTATTTCTTTTCTACGTCTAATTATCCAAGTTTCGTTTCTTTGAATTTAGTATTTTGCGGGTGTGTTTTTTGAGAGTTTCGGTGTGTATTTTTAATTTGCATGTTGAGTTTGATAGTATGTAGAAGCGACCGATCATTTATTCTCAATATAATACACTTTAGAAGAATCCACACGTAGCATTGGTGATCAAATGCGATTGTGAGGCTTTGAAATTAGTGGTCAATGGTTTGCTAACATGTCTCAACTTAACGAGTGGCAAATAACGATCACCTGAATTGGCCGGAACCTGTAAGAAAGGAAAGAGTAACGCCACGGTTATGGGTCCACGGTGATGGAATACATTCATGCTCCAAGATGCCTGGACCTGAGAATTAAATGGGAGCTAGAGCCTGTGAGAACGAAGAGCCTGGAGCTTAGAGCTCCCAGTTTGGAACCATTGGGAACGTGTTCCCTGTGTGGGCAACGAAGCTGGTGGTGGTTTTGAATCGTCAACGTGGGGGGGGCTTGGAGCGGAAGGAATCGTTTTACTGGTTTTAGCATCTCGCCAGCTTGCAATGCCAATGTTGAGAACCGCAAAGATATGACGCCTGGGCCTGGTTTTTTACTAATTCGTCAATCAGGGTACAAAGTTGTCTTAAACTAGGGTGTCAATAAATGAGCGCGCAGGGTTTCTAACGATTCTCAATCCAGGGTATCGTCATTCCTGTGAAGCTTTGGCTTCCGACGAGTTTGCTGCTGCACTGGGATGAGTTGAGGATCAGCCGTTGCGGTGGATTCAAGTGGCAGAGTTTACCGGACTTCATTGCGATGGGACGATGACCGCAAGACAAATCAGTTACACATGAGGTTACTCTAGTTTCACTTAACACATTTCATTCTCTTCTTCACGAACCGTTGGACTTAGGTTACCGTCGACAACGATTGGTGCAATCGGTTTATCCGAAAATCTATAGAGTCAACCTCGTCGGCAACCTCTAAGGCGAAATGAGTGAGTTCGGAGTTCATGGCACTGACGATATTTGTAAGGAATTACCAGAATTTAGAGTGGACATGATTGAGTACATGAAGTGTGGCAAGATCATGTACACTGTTGAAACCTGAGGATGCCTGTGTTCGTCGCCATTGTTGTCCTCTGTTTCGTTTGTGATGCAGAACTTGTGTTTCACGTTTTTCCCTCTCCCCAGCGGTGTTGTTGTTGTTGTTGGTGGTGCAAGTAATCGTCACCCTTGTCGGCAGCCCTGAGTTTGTTGAGTCTTGACATGCCAGGCCAGGGATTTTATAGGGTATTTATATATATACCGAAACACATGGTGGACTCAACAGCCATCCTAGATATGTATATACAATTGTACATTTTCGGGGTATACCCTTCGCAAGGGTTAACGTGTTTAGTGTACGTTAACGTCCAGAATCCTAAAATCTCATCTCCGAGGCGAATCTTGGGGTATCTTCCAACTGCCATCCAAGTTTTGAATCTGCCTGTGTACTTTGGTTTTATTGCAAATGTGATACGAACAGTACCTTTGGAAGAATTTCAAGTTGAAACTGTACAACTCATTATTGATTCCTCTGTCTGTGGAGGCAATCCAAGCCAGGGAACGGGGACATTGGAACCTCATCCAAAGGACGAGACTTGTCAGCAGTACCAGGATGAGGTCTGGAACCTTCTGTTTTGTCTGTTTTGCCTTGTTGACCATCTAAATCTTTCACACCGTATTGCAATCGAGTTGCAAAACTTAACGATGACGCATGATCCTTGGCGGGCATTTTGCATGTTGCAAAATGTTAAACAAAAGAAAAGAACAGGGAGACAAAAAGTAAATGAATAATGCAAATCGAAACTAAAATAAGAAAGAGGACTTGGGGCTTGCATGGCTTATGTTTTAGTTGTTTTTCTTCAGCATGGGTTTTAGCGTTGAATATTTTGTACGGTGTTCAGAATATTTGTCATGTTGGGGCCCATTGTGACAGGTGTATTTGAGCTCTTCTCCCTTTTTATGGTGGCACACGAGAAGTATGTGTTTCAATTCTCCACAAACCCCCTTGCTCTAATCTTTCCTTTCGCCTGCTACAGAGTCACAAATAAATTTTTTTGGGCGTTTGGAAACGAAATGCTTCAAGAAAGTATAGCTATTGCTTCAAAAGTCTAGATTGCCACAGATTATCATCAAAACTGTAAATTCAGGAAAAATACTTTGGAAAATACGAGTAGAATGAGGAGGATCATTTTTAGGCTGGAAGTGCCAGTTGGATTGATTCCAATTTCTGCTGCCGTAACATTTGACTCACTTTATTTCCCTTGCAAGCACAGGGTTCAAAAGACTAATATTCAACTTTTGATTATTAATGTTTTCTAAAAACATTTCCTCAAGGCTTGCAAAATAATTTGTCCATGTTCCATTAAGTATTTTCAAATCATAATTATAATATAGATGTTACTCTACACATATTGTTGGAAGATTGGTTTGTTTCTTTGGATACACATAGTCTACAAGCTGAGGCCTCTTAGCATTGGCTGAATCTTACAGAAATATTTAAATCTAAAAAAAAAAAATCTTTGCAAAAGTAGCTTGCATCTATGTTAAAGCTTTCCACACCTTCTCATTTTAGAAATTGGAAGTCAATTTATATGGAAAAGAGTTGTTTAATTCCAAATTCTTTGGAGGAGATACAAGGCATAGTAAATATATGTGTCTAAACCAACCTACCATGTCTTATATTGATTGCAACTACCATGTCTTATATTGATTGCAACTTCTTTATGTAATAGAAGCTAAATAAACAATATTTCTTTGTGGACTAGAGGTTTGGACCATATGTCATCTCATTTTAAAAAATATTCATATTTATATAAAGAATTATATTTCTTTTTTGTCAAATTAGTAGTATGATTGTGTCTTTGAAGCAAATTCTTTCTAATTTTGACTCAATATGTTGTGAAATATATTCTTGTTACCTAAGCATAAGCATTGAATCAAATGTCAACTTACTAACCAAGTCTAGGAACAAATTAATGCATTTTCTCTTTTTACAAGTTAGAATTGTTTATCTAGCCTTTCTTATAAGTTTTAGAAAATTGGCCACTTGATTCTTGTTGTCACCAAAGAATTAATTTTCTTGGTTAAAAGACATGGTCTTGTTGTATTGGAGAATTCTTGATTGTGTCTCTACACAAAAAATTTGATTTTAATCTAATGAAGTAGGATTTATTTTTAATTTTTTTATCTTCTTCCAAAATTTCATCTAAATACCTAATATGTTTTTCTTTTAAATTCTTCATATTGAATGGAGAATTGAAAGACTACTAATATCAATTGGTATGTTTCTAGTATATATAATCTAATTCAATCGAATCCAATTTTATAATTTAGATATAACACAACTTTGTTGAAGTATAGCCTTCATTTTTTAGATAAATAGCAATAGATAAAAATCCAAATATAAATAATTTTTAGTGTAAGATCATATGTAGATTTAGCTTTATTTAAAATAAAAGATTATGGTAAAGTTTTGAATAAATTTTTAATCATTTAAAAGCTATTTAAGAAAAAATATATTGAACAAATTATAAAAGAAAAACTTATTAGGTATTTAGATGAAATTTGGAAGTAGAAATTATAAATCTTATGATAAAAATTTATTTTTTACTTAGTGAATAAAAGATATAGAGATCAAATATAAATGTGAATGCAAGTGTGATCAAAATTTTCTATTTTTTTTAAAAAAATTTAAGTCAAATTTCTATTTGTACTTTAGAAATTAATTTTAAATGTAATTTGGAAGACATTCTATATTTTTTGTAGGTTTGGCATTCATCATTTTAAATTTGAAGAATTCTTGAATATTGATATGTCCATATTATAGAGTTTCTATGATATATTTAATTATAATAACTTTGGTGGCATCCTCTAAATCTATTAAACTAATCTATCTTCAACTCAAGAATTGCAATACATAGTCAAAATACTTTAGTTTTATTAAAGAAGATGTATTTTTTTAATTAAAAAATTATAATAATAGTTTTTAAAATATTTTTAAAGATTTGACTCAAATAGTAAGAATAATAAATGGATATGAAAGTAAAATCTTATTATTCATGATAATTCTTTTAGAAACAAAATACTATAGTTGGACATCAATAATCTAATTTATTAGTCATTCTATCTATTAAGAATTGATCAATGTTGTGTATATGTATAGATAAGCCAAAAGTGTAGAAAATAGCTTATTGATATTGTAAATAAAGGCCATGCTTATCCAATATTGTTGGTCCATATTAGTCTAGTAGTATTTTTGGATTGCAAGTAGGTAATTAATTTTAATCAATTAATCAAAAAATTAAAAAGCCAAACTATATCAATATATAATTTTTATTCATGTTCAAACATTATCCTCTTCACTTTCAATAATAATCGTTAAATGTTTTTATACTAATAAATAAATTATTAATAAAATAAATTCAAAGATTATTTTTATTGTAAAACTTATGTTCTTTTATCCTATCTTTTTATAGAAATATTTAGGATATTATCAATAAAGGTGAAAAAATATGGAGCACAAGGACATTTTTGTCTAAGTCCAAATTCAATTAAAAATTATTTTATAAAAGAACCATTTATGCCAACAAAAATACTTGCCTTTAAAAGAGATTCTTTTAATCATATGTTTAATCCATTTTTTTTGAAAGTGTGAAATAAGAATCTTTAAGAGACTTTATTATAAGCTTTGAAAAAATCTATATATAAGAAGATAATTAGTTAGTTAGAAGATTTAATCCTCTTTATTATTTTTTGTATAATAAATGCTTTATCTAAAATATATGTTAAGAGAAGAAAAATTTAGTCTAAATAAATCACTTATAAAAGTATAGATTAAAGATATTTTTGAAAAATCTTAGTATATATTGTATATGTGGTATTTAATGAAATCATCGGATTCTAGTTTTTTTAGTCTAATCTTATCTTTGCCTTTGTAAAGAAAGGTGATATGATCTTTAATAATAAGTTGAAAAATTTGAGCATTTTTTATAGTTTAATTCATCATTCCAATATAGTCTTTTTTTAATAATTTGCCATTTTTTTTTTTTTTTTTTGATAAAACTCAATTTAAATCTCATTAAGTCCACGTGCATTATATTTTGTCATATTTCTTAATGAATCTTCTAATTTTTTGAAATTATAAATAAAATAAAAAATCTTTATTTATTCAATTAATACTTTTTTATAGAATAAAGTTTCAAAAAAAGTTGAAAGTATACTATGTATTCAAAGACGACTATTTTTTTTGTATAAATAAAAAGAAAAGTTGAAGCACATCTTTTTAAGATCTTCTAGATTCCTTTGTATTGTATCTTGAGGTTTTTTAAAATTTTATGATGGTAGATTTGAGATGATAAGTTTTGACATTTTTAAAGATATTTTTAGTGTTTTTATCTCTAAATTGTCTCTATAAAATTATAGAATGAATGTTTTGTATTTTTTTTCAGTATTTAAATTGAATGAAGTATAATTGAATCTATTTAAGATAAATTTGTGAGATAATATCTTGAAATTTTCCTTTTTAAATTTAGGTAGATTTATCATAGTTATACTTTAAATTTAAATAAGTTTCTTGGTTTTAATAATGTTTATTCTTAATAAAAATAAGTATAATATTGTATACAAATTCTCAATCTACAGAAGAAGAATTCACAAAGTCTATGTTGAGACTAAATTTTGTTGATGCATAAAAAAACTCTAAAGACGTTAAAATAGAAGATATATATTTTGTAAGATTATTGTCTTTTTTTTAGATTTTTGATCTAAAATAATCCACCTATTGTTAATAAATAATTTTCATAATGATTCGGATAAATTTGTATTGTAAAAAAAAATCACATAATATAAATAAAATTAAAATAAAATCTAAAATAGATATTTAAAATTTCTTAACTATATATATAGATATATATATATATATATTATTTTAATATGTAAAATTTATAAATAAAATTCAATTAAAAATATTTATGTGATAGAATATATAGTCTAAAGTAGTACTAAAATTACTATTTTTTAAAAATTGATCTTTCTTTTCTTTCTTATCTTGTTTTTTATAACAACCATCAATTATTCTACAGTACCATTCATTTTTATTATCTTAATTTTAATTAGATACAATTATAATCAAAAATTAAAACATAATTTTTCAAAATTTTTCTTTAATTATTTTATGAAATAATGTTTTAATCTAACTTACAATCCAATTAATAGTTTTGAAGTTTTAAAGAATTGATATCATTTTTCTATAGATATTAGTTGTATAAATCAATGATTATATCTTTTGGTTTAATACTAAATTATAAATCACGTTTTATATAAAATCAATTGTCTAATATATTAGATATCACTTTTATTTATATTAATGATAATGCGAGTATAAGTTTATGTGTAGTTTGTTTTTTTATGATGGATTAAACTATTATAAATATTAAAATAAATTATCTTATGTTATACAAATATAGTGTAAAATGAAGCATACATATTTTGTGTAGATTAATAGCAATAGTAGTAATAACAATGCTATTTTTGGGTGTTGTAATCATAAATCATGTAATTACCTATGATATTCCTGGTAAAGGATAAAAGTTTTGTAACATATATTTCATGCTGAATTATCCTATAACATAATCACCTTATATAGAAATAGAAAACAATAATTAAGTTAATTTGCATTAATGATCATCATAGCTTTTTTTGATTTTAAATCAAATAAATAATTATTACCACTATGTCAATATCACTGAATAATATAAATATTACAAAAGTTATAGTACAGGGTCTAATAAATCTATATATATATATATATATATATTCATATTCCACTCTTGCTTTAAAAACTCTATTTGCTAGTATAAAAAATTTCTTTTATTTCTTTGATTATTTTATTTATAAGGATTTGATTTTGATTTTGATTTTTTTTTTTTTTTTTTTATTAAAAAATAAATTTATTGAAATGTGATACTTTATGCAGCTACTTTGTTAATCTATGTAATTGACGATTGATGACCTACGACAGAAATATGTATTGAAATACTTATTTGAATAAAAAAATGTAGACAAAAATTGATGAGGATTAGGTAGTAGACATATTTTTACATAAAAAATTCCAAGTAGGAATAATAAACTAAATAGTTACTTAGAATGTAGCTAATATTTTAATATAATTATTTATCCTTTTACATAAATATTTAAATAAAAATCCTTCTAAATTTATCAGGAGTAATAAATCAAAAGTTGATGACATAAGTCTGTTAAATTAGTGACTTAATCATCACATCATGCTGTGAATCGGTTTTCTTTTCTAATGCAGATATGAACAT